ATTTAGTTGTATCAAATTTAAGGCCTTAAAAAGTCTTAAATTGTACAAGAAAGTCTTAATTATGATTTCAAGAGGTCTTAAATTTGGGGATGGGAAGACCAGAATTGCGATATGGCTGAATGTGACGATAAAACTTCAAAAGGCTAACGTTATGATTTCATTGAATAAACACGAGCGCTGCACGTTCAAAGTCCGGTGCTGTGCTGCTTTGTGTTCTGCCGTTACCAGGGAAACAGTTATATTTCTACCAAACGCTCCACCTGCTGGCAGAGAATGAATGAGCATTTTCAATAAAACTGTTGTTTTGTTCAGAGTTCAGAAAAATCATTTCAAACACAGCCACAGCGCTGTTTTGCGTCTCTGAGCAACAGGACGCTGTTTTGTTCCTGAATGAATCAACCGTTTAAATGTTTCGGTTCAAACGCAATGACTCACTTATTAACAGTGACTTGCTGCCACCTATTGGTGGTTTTAATTTCATATTTAAGGTACCTTTTCATTTTTTTAATTATTTCAAACATCAGTTTTCAATGTTTTATGTTTAAAATATCAAAACATTATTTATGCATTTGTAACTGCAGGTTAAAGTATTTAATGTCCCTCAGAGCTGCATTAAACAGTGTGTAAATGCATCTACATGCCACTTCTAATGCAGCTTCTGTGTTTCCTCTGCGAATATTATCGAGATAACATTTTTTTGTCAATATCGCACACCCCTAATTTATGTTATTTAATTGATATAATAATTTATTGATAATAATTGTTTAAATTAATATAATAATTAATAATTTTGACTCCTCCATTTTCTTAACAATGGTTTAAAGGCGTAAATGTAAAGTTTCTCTTTTTTTAAAACTTTGTTTTTGTGAAAACTTGTATCTGAACTGTAAATTGTGCTTTTTAACGTAATTTTACAGTTTAATATGGTACTACATTGCCCTACCCCGCTCATATGGTATTAATTTTATTTGTGCAGGTCTTAGAAAAAGGTCTTAAAAAGTCTTAAATTTAAGCTTAAAAATCCTGCAGAAACCCTGGCCTAGGTCCCGCCCCCGAAAGTTCCGGACTTTTGAAAAAGTACTACCTCGCAAGCAGGGACTTTCTGAGGGGCAATTTTTTACCCGGAACTTTATTTAGATCTGGTTCCTGCGGTGGAAACACACCGAGTACCGGCCCGAAGTCCCTAGTTCCTGGGTAAAGTTCCTGCGGTGGAAACGGGGCTTTAAACTCAATCCTTACCTTTTATTTTTCCAGTAAGCCAGTCTTTCAGATGACCCTTCAGAGGGCAAGTTCGGATGCAGAACCAATGAATTATCTGGTCTGAAGAAAATTTTTTTGACTAATCAAGAGTTTCACCCATTTCAATATTGGTTCATCTAACAAAACATTGATGCTATAGTGGTGTGCTAGTGTTTGTTCTTTGAAGAGGTACAGGTGGATTAATCCCCTGCTTCATTTCAGGTTTGTAGACACAGGAGAGATGCCTGAGAGCTTCCCCTACAGAACCAAAGCACTTTTCGCCTTTGAGGAAATTGATGGAGTGGACGTGTGTTTCTTCGGCATGCACGTGCAAGAGTACGGCTCTGATTGTCCTTTCCCTAATACCAGGTAAACTCTTACACAAGTTAATTAGAGAAAAAACAGACATATACGGCAATGCTTGTAGTGCTTTAGCATGCAATAAAGGTAAAAGTCTCTGTCTTTTTTGTACCTATCTAGACGGGTATACATATCGTATCTCGATAGTATTCACTTCTTCAGACCTCGCATGCTGAGAACAGCAGTCTATCATGAAATCCTCATCGGCTATTTGGAATACGTCAAGAAGCTTGGGTAGGTTTCATCATATAAATCCTCCTTGAGTCCGACAAATACACAGTTGCTGTTCATGCCCTGAACTTTGAACATTTCCACCACAGATACGTTACAGCACACATCTGGGCATGTCCACCTAGTGAAGGCGATGACTATATTTTCCACTGTCACCCTGCCGACCAGAAAATCCCAAAACCCAAGCGCCTGCAGGAGTGGTACCGCAAAATGCTGGACAAGGCCTTTGCTGAGCGGATTCTGCATGACTACAAGGTATAGCAGGGACCATGTGATCTTTAAAAACCTTAATTTCGTAAAATGGAAAGATTCACTAATTTTTTGATTGTGTATATACCATCAAGAACACAATTATATGGTATAAATACGATGTGTTTGTATTTAATAGGACATCTTTAAGCAAGCCACTGAGGACCGTTTGACGAGTGCAAACGAGCTTTCATATTTTGAGGGTGATTTTTGGCCCAATGTGTTGGAGGAGAGCATCAAGGAGTTGGAGCAAGAGGAAGAGGAGAGGAAAAAAGAAGAAAACACGGCAGCTTGTGAAACTCCTGAGGTGAATGAGAGAAGCCGTGTGTCTTTTTTAAAATTTTCGGATACTCTTCATTAGGGTTGGGTATCGATTGGGTTTTTTACGATACCGGTGCCAAATCGATACTTTTAAAACAGTACCGGTGCCTGAACCGATACTTAAAAAAAAAAGAGCCACAAAAAACCGATGGATAACATTAAAAATATTAAAAGGAAGCTTTCCTTACTCTAAGGCTAATAAATGTATTTCACGATCTTGGTCATTATTTAATACAAAACCACAATGTTTCTACTGTATCTCTGTCAATCACTCTGATATTTAGTTAAAATGAGTGAATTGGCAGAGTGCTGTCTGTCACTGTCTTTAATCACTTCTGTGAATGACTATGGTATGCCACATGCACTGTAATATGTTTTATATTAAATATTAAATTTTCAAATGAAAATGGCAACATGATCGTTTTATAAAGTATGCGTTAATATGTGTTAAGGGCTAGATTTTTGCTGGAGGAAACAGCTGTGGTGTGATGAGGGGTGAACGCAGCGAAAACTTTACAGTAGATGGGAAACCAATTGCTCTCTCGTGACCTTTTGTAAACTGTATTTATGACAAAGAACTGCACAGATACAGATATTATAACAATCTATCGATAAACACACACCTTGTGTCCTCTGTTTCTGTTTGAGTCCGCTCGTTCTGCGCTGCCGCGGTCTGCGGATTGAAGAGAGCGCTGAAAGACGGAGAGGAGACGAAGTCTGCCGCCGTTTTCAAATGAAATTTAAAGGGTACTGACTCTTGAGGCGATCACGAATTTGTGTACAGTTTATGGAGCTAATCGCTATAGCCCCACTAAAAATGGTCTAGCGACGCCCATGCTTTCTTACGTCCATTTTGGAGAAGAACCAGGACAAATATTTCAATCGATTGCTCAGGCATTTAATGGCACCGAAATGAGGCACCGAAATCTGCGTTCTGATTCGGTTCTAGTACATACCGGTTACATAGGTACGGCACCGGGTTTTGGTACCCAACCTTACTCTTCATAAGGTTCATTTTATTTGATACTCTGTAGATTAACTTGCATCTCTTTTATAAACTCCAAACATCCTTTATAGACGCTTATTATTCTTTCTAACAGGGTACGCCAGGGGACAGTAAGAACGCAAAGAAGAAGAACAACAAGAAAACAAATAAGAATAAAAGCAGCGTGAGCCGAGCTAATAAAAAGAAACCTGGGATGCCGAATGTAGCCAATGATCTTTCTCAGAAACTCTACGCCACAATGGAGAAACACAAAGAGGTCTACTATATGTTCTTCATCTGATCATTAACTTGCTCTCTAAGGCATTGCATGAGTCATGTACATTGTTTAACTTGAAGTTTTTCACTGTTTTGAATGTCACCTTTTGATATACATATAAGCCAAATGTTTTTCTCTGGAAAAGTCTTATGAAACCTCTTACCTTGTCCCACTTGTTCTTCCAGGTGTTTTTTGTAATCCATCTGCACTCTGGGCCCATGGTCAATTCATTACTACCCATCGTTGACCCCGATCCCTTTCTGAACTGCGACCTAATGGACGGAAGGGACGCCTTCTTGACATTAGCACGGGATAAGCACTGGGAGTTCAGCTCTTTGCGGCGCTGCAAGTGGAGCACCATGTGCATGCTGGTGGAATTGCACAACCAGGGCCATGACCGCTTTGTCTACACTTGCAACGAATGTAAACACCATGTCGAGACACGTTGGCACTGTACTGTCTGCGAGGTAAGATACAGAGGCTCCTGTAACACGCTACAGCTCTCGTTTATGATCAGTAGTGGATGGGTGTGTTTCTGGGTTTGTTTTGATTTGAGCGCATTAGAAAAGAAAACCTTTGTGATTTTGAAACTTGGGGAGCCATGGGATCTTTTAGTAACATGTATTCTACTAGTAGTGTAAACACATCTTTCTCATGTTTTGGCCATTTGTTGTTGATGCATCGTAATCATTTCTTGTCTTTTCATAATGAGATGACTTTTGATATTCTTGTCATTCCTTGGTTAATCACTGTGCCCTCATCTTTCTGCAGGACTTTGACCTGTGCATTAGTTGCTATAACACTAATGGCCATGAACACCAGATGGTTAAGTGGGGTCTGGGTCTGGACGATGATAACAGTCAAAGCGGCGAGGCCTCCAAGAGTCCTCAGGAGAGTCGGCGTCTAAGCATCCAGCGTTGCATCCAGTCTCTGGTGCATGCCTGCCAGTGCCGCAATGCCAACTGCTCTCTGCCATCTTGCCAGAAGATGAAGCGTGTGGTGCAGCACACCAAGGGCTGCAAACGCAAGACAAACGGTGGCTGTCCGGTGTGCAAGCAGCTCATTGCGCTCTGCTGCTATCATGCCAAGCACTGTCAGGAGAACAAGTGCCCCGTGCCCTTCTGCCTCAATATCAAGCACAAACTACGTCAGCAGCAGCTGCAGCACAGGCTCCAGCAGGCGCAGATGATGCGGAGACGCATGGCTACTATGCAGGGCCGAGCCATGCCTCAGAGCCTACCATCACCGCCTGCATCAACAGCCCCCAGCACGCCCACCTCGCATCAGCAACCCAACACCCCTCAAACACCACAACTGCTGTCCAACAAACCAACGACTCCCAATGCGGGTGTCATGTCCCCGGCCTATCCCAATGCGCCCCGCAACGGACAACCCCCTTCTCAAGCTTCACAGGGCAAACCTGGCCCACAAGCTTCCCCGCTTCACCAGCAGCAGTCTCCGCTCCCGCAACCTCCCCAGCAGCAGCAGCCGCCGCAACAACCGCCTCAGCAACAGCCTCCGCCTATGGCGGTCAAAATGGCACGGCACATAGAAATGGTCGCGCAGGCTCAACACCAACAGAACTATCGCATGACCATGAATGGCCTTCCTATGAACCACCAGCAGCCACGCGTGCCAGGCCCAATGCAGCCACCCATGCAGCATGTCGGGCCACGTGGACAACAGGTCATGCCGCCAATGCCACAAGGACAGTGGAGTGGAGGCCCTCAGCCAGGCATGCAAGCGGCTCAGCAGCAGGTTGCTCCGCAACAGACCGCACCGGGCGCTCCGCAGACCATGCCTATGCAGAGACCCCCAATGCCCCAGCAAGCTGCACAGCCACGCATGATGGTGCCCACACAGGGTCCACGACTGCAGGCACCCCAGAGACCCGGAGCCATCGCCCCCAATGCCTTGCAAGACCTGCTACGCACCCTCAAGTCACCCAGCTCGCCCCAGCAACAGCAGCAGGTGTTGAACATCCTCAAATCGAACCCGCAACTCATGGCCGCCTTCATCAAACAGAGGACTGCGAAGTACCACGCCAACCAGCCGCAGCAGCAACAAGCGCAACACGGCATGCATGCAGCGCAGCCAGCGATGCAGAACATGGCAGCCATACAGGCAGTGCCGCGACCTGGCATGGCGCCGCAGCAGCAACCGCAACAGCCCGCACCACAAGGCATGGCAGCTCTTGGAGCGCAGAGTCAGCTCATGAACCCTGCGCACGCCAACAACCCGCAGCTGCAGGAGTTGTACCGCCGTCAGCTTTTGCGGCAGCAGCAGCAGCAACAACAGCAGCAGCAGGGAGTGATGCCGCAGGCACATGGCCAGTTCCCGCAGACACAAGGGACTGCTACCAACTACACGCAACTCCGGGTGCAGCAGCAGCAACAGTTGGCCATGCAGGGAACAGGCGGACCCATGGGCCAGCTGCCCCCTATGGCCCAGATGGGGAAGGGCGGGATGGGAATGGACGGCACATCCAATCTCCTGCACCAACGCATGCTGCAGCAGCAGCAGCTTCCGCAACAGCAGGTCGTCCTCAAGCCTCCAATGGGCTCACAAGCGCAACCAAGTCCAATGAGCCCGCAAACTCACCTGCTTTCCGGCCAGCCGCAAGGCGCACACCTTCCCGGCCAACCCATGGCTAATGCACTCAGTAATCAGGTGTGCTCGCCGGCCCCTGTACAGTCGCCCAGACCTCCGTCACGGCAGCTTCCGCCACATTCCAGTCCTTCCCCACAGGTTCAGCCGCAGCACGCGCCGCCCCACACAGGATCACCACACCCTGGTCTGACGACGCCCATGCCTGGCTCCATGGAGCAGGCACACCTGGGCACACCCGAGCAGAGTGCCATGCTCCCGCAACTTAATACGCCCAACCGCGGAGGGCTGCCCAGTGACTTAGGTATGGTTGGAGACACAACAGGAGACACGCTGGAGAAATTTGTGGAGGGATTGTAGCGTTTACTGGGAGACTCCACCCACCACAGTCTCCCCGTTCCTCTTTTTTGTGGCTCTGTTGGTTTTTCTCTAATATTCTCAAATTTTTTGTACTGACATGTAAAGTTTGAAGAAATGTATGGGGGGAAAAAAAGAATTTGTCTACAAGGAATAGGAAATGTTGATGTTTCCTAAAAACAAAAGACTGATTTCTTCCTTTTAAGAGGGATTTGAAAATTTTTGTTTAAAAGAAATATAAATCACAAAGAATATATTTTTTGTTCAGTTTAGACCTATGTGTGGTCAATGTTTTGTTTTAAATTGTCGTTTTGGTTTTGTTTCGGGGGAGGGTGGTCTGGTTTCATGCCTTTTCTTTTTTTTTAAGAAAATTACGAAACTTCATTATATTATTCATACCTTTTGATTTATACCTTATCTAACTTTGCAGCATTTTTGTGTTGGAAGACTGTAAAATAATTTGTCTTGTAGTTTGGGTCAGGGTTTCTCTGCTCTGTCTGTCATCCTTCCTGGCGATTGTATTCTAGTGTTGTACCATTTTTTCAGACATGCATTCGGAGGCATTTCCTCCCTTTCTCATTGTGAAGTTTGTATGTATGAGGAGAACTATTTGTTTGTATTGATAGGAACTGTGCATACGCATGTGTGCAGACACACAGAGACAGACACACATAAGCATCACTCAGATAATACAACACCAACCCCAAGAGGACATGTACACATTTACAACATCTCACTGGCCTGGATCCAGAGGTTCTGTCTTGCAGATGTGGAATATTGTTGCTTTTTGTCCTAATTTTGTCATACAGATATATAAATATAAAGAGAGCTAGAGAGAAAGAGGGAGAGAGTGGGGCCCCTAAGCTGAGCGGGAGGGAATGGGCGATCACTGGTTGACTGCTAGTTGGAAACACAGAATGGATTCTGATATTGACCCTCATTTATCACACAAACTTGAACAGGGGCTCTACTTTTTCCCTTAATGTAAATCGTGCAAGTTATTAAGCAAAATACTTTAAATATAAGGAAGAGAGAATGGAATCACTGTATAAACTGGTTGAAAAAAACGTATTTCTTATATACCATATTGTTAAATAAACTGTGTGCAACAGATCAAAATCATGTGTCTTTAATGTTATTTATATAGTATATTATATGCTAAAGCTACTTTGAAAGAAAGTTAACGTTAGGCTGTCGCGTCCTTTGACTTATTTAACTTTTACTAACAAAATAAAAAATGCTAAATGTATAAATACTTAAATTAAGCTAGTTATTGGCAATATTTAGTGTAATTTGCCATCTTTTTTTAGCAATTTCACCATTTCGTAAGTTCAGTCATGACTCGGAGATGTTTCGCAATCGACGCAGTCATGCGTCACCGCGTACTAGACGTCACCGGAAGTAGGCGGCGGTCGCGGTACAGTATTTTGAACAACAGTAGTCGCCGTTGCAGCACATTTGATAAGAAAACCGTCGTTTACGACATTAAATCATCTGTTTTAAAAAACATACAATGAAGTGCGTCTTGCCAACGGTCTGTATTCAAGTTGTTATGAAATAAATCGCAATTAAAGTACGTTAACCGATATAATATGTTTCAATAATGGCAGAGTGAAATGTAAACAAAGGTAAATTTGATGTATGTCTTTACATGCAACTCTTCCATGGTATTTATCAAATGCGTATGAACAGATAAGCTTTTTATCCACAATATAAAAAATTCAAATGACGTTAAATGATCCATAAATATGGATCCACATAACAGCTGTCACATGTGACACATCATGTGTGTGTTCGGCTCATCATGAACGACTCGGACCAGGACTTCACCGACATCTGCTCTCGTCTCCTCAAAAGAGTGAGGAAGAAAGGAGCAGGAGGATCTGGAGATGAAAAGAGATCAGCAGTCAAGGATGAGGAGCCATCCTCCTCCTCTTCCGAAAGAAACCCCCCAAAGAGGAGAAAGAAGACTAAGGATGCTACTAAGAGTCAGATCAACGGCAGGACTCGGGCTGTAGAGTCTGGTGATGTTTCCCAGCGCGTTCCTGAAGTGTCTGGCAGAGGGAAAGTCAAAGATGCAGTGATCCAGAGAATGCAGCGGTTTAAGAGAGCCAGTCCAGAGAGACTCTTGCATGCAGAGACCAACCAGCCCACAACCACAGAGTCTGATGGAAACCATCCCACCACTATCGGGATCCAGCAGACAGGTATGGTGTCAAGCAGGGGTTTTCAACCCAGGGATCCACCCAGTCTCTCAACTTTCATTAACATGAACTAACTTTGCCACATTGTATAATGTAGTGCAGCCCAGAATGAAAATTGTCATCATTTACTTGCCCTCATGTTGTATGACAAACCTCAAACTTATATGAGTTTCTTTCTTCTGTTGAGCACAAAAGAAGATGTTTTGAAGAATGCTGGTAACCAAACAGTTGATGGCAGCCATTGACTTCAATAGTATTTTTTTCCATACATGGAAGTCAATGACTACCGTCAACTGTTTGGTTACCAACGTTATTTAAAAATATCTTCAGAAGAAAGAAATTCATACATTTAGGTGAACTATCCCTGTAAGTTAGAGTTAGTTAGATCATTTCAATGTTATACAACCATTAGCAATAAACATTTTTGGTTTGTCTGGGCTAGTATATTGTGGGTTTTTTTTCTTAATTTTTTTTAGCATTTACTTGCCCAAGCAATGATTTCATGGCGCTCCACCAAAAGTACATTTGTAAGTAACATTGTAAATAAAAATTGCAATATAGTAAAAATATATGCGTGTTTATATATAAAACATAAAAATATACATTTTATTGTTATCATTACAACAAAATTTGTTAATGTCCAATGATAACTGCAAATGCTAAAGATTAACTCCATAAATGTATTATTTATTTTTATTTATTTACATTTTTTGTTAAACCGTGAACTGTGGTATATGGTTCAAATCAGCCATAAAAATTGATTGTTTTGTAACTTGCAAACAAAATCAGCACAATATACAAAACAAAATATCATTGTAAACCAAATGTAGGCCTACATGTTTTTATGGCTTGACATTTTTTATTGTCATCAATGAAAGTAATTTGTCAAAAGTGTATGTGTTGCCTTACATTAGATAAATTTTATAAATTTAATATAAATTTAGAGTTTTACTATCAGCACAATTTGCAAAAATGATGTTAAAAATATCTCAAATCAAATGTACATGTGTTTTATGGCATGTTTAACGTAATCAATGAAAGTCAAAAAGTGTGTGTGTTCTCCTTCAGAAGATGCGAGTGGCGATGAAGCCCTGGCTCTTCAGCTTCAGCAGGAGTTGGATTGTGAGGCTCGGGCCGCTGGAGACGTGGAAGATGAAGGGTTGTTCTTCTGCCAGCTCTGTCAGAAAGATCTGTCAGCCATGAGCCCCCCGCTGCGCACTCAGCACATCAACAGGTGCGTTACCACCACTACATTATGAGCTACCATTCATATCCCACACACACAAACAATATGAGTTTCACATTTGACTTCTGTCTTGTTCTCCTGCTTCGTAGATGTTTAGATGCAAGCGAGAGCAGCGCTCCTTCAGCATCCCATCATTCACACCGTAGACCACGGGTCCCAGAGTGTCCCATTTGTGGAAAGAGTTTTAAATCAGAAAAAAGCCGATCTGTCCACTTAAAGCGTTGCTCAACTAATTTGGGTGTGAAACCAAATGATCTTCTCCAGGCTCTGAGGAGACAGGCTGCTGAGAGAGCGAGCGACAACACCACCGACCAATCGTAAGCCAGCCACTGGTCACTTTATGAATGTCTTTTCTTTAATTGAGTGTTTTTTTTTTTTATATGTACTATAAAAATGTGTATGTGTGTACTTGTGTATATATATCATACATATACACACTTGTGGAATTTACATACTTTTTATATACTTTTTTTTTATTTATATATTTTTATTTGTTTATACGTTATCATATTTAATACTTCAAAAATAAAAACGCAGAACATTTTTTCCAGTGTGACATTTTTGTGACTATTAGGCACATTTTTATCTTCAACTTTTATTGCAAAAAAAAATGATTTAATTTTTTTAAATGATCAAAAATCATTCAGATATTCTGAATTAAAATATCAGTATGCATTACAGTAAAAATAAATGGGGAGGGAAATGTGCTTAACTGTCAAGAAAACATGGTTTCAAAATATGCTGAAAATGAAGAAGAAAAGGACAGTTATTAAAAAGGGTTATTTTTGGATGCTTATTTAAAAATTGACAACAGTAGATACATTAGTTGTACACGTTCCTTCTCTTCTCTCTGCAGACAGCTACTAGGTAGTGGTACGACAACTCGGAGGGATGGCATGCCTTTAAAAAAGAGAACCAGGAGGAAAGCCCAGAAGCTGGACGAGGACACCATGGTGGCGCTGGCTCTGTCTCGCTCTATACTCGAGCGGGAAATGGAAAAGGAGCGAGAGCTGGAGGAGAGGGAGATACTGGCTCAGCTCTCCAGTCCTCCTGCCTTACAGTGGAAGCCTGGTGCAGGTAAACTCACCTTTTTCAGTTAAACATATGCAGTGAAATTGCAGGTTATTACTCATAGTGCATCATTCCTATTCACTTTCAGGTAAGGGCCGCGGGAAGAGAAAGAAGGGAGTGTCTCCTGTCCACCCACCACTTCTCCTCATTCAGGACCCTCAGACGGCACTGAACCGTCTACAGGAGCGGGTTTCATCTCTCCTGCTTCGTTCCAGATCCCCCTATCCGCCAACACCAACCCTATCCCCCTCCGCCCTTCCTCTTCATCCTCACGCCCCCCTCTGGGACAAAAGTGCTCTTCACGGAGGAGGACCAGATTCAGTTTCAGAGTTCTACACCTCTGAACTAAGCAACTTCATACAGCCATGGGTTGCACCGGAGGTGAGATATTTGCTTTCTTAATAAATTCACCTTGTCTTATTATGCACAATTCAACAGTGTTTATTATTTCAAAGAAAAAATTTGCACATAAAAAAAATATAGATTTATTTTTAATTAAATGCAGTAACTGTAAAAATCGGATTTTACTAAAAACATGAATCCACGTTGCTACATAAAATGTACAAATCATTAGTTCAAAAATAAATATGTAAATAAAAAGGCGACATACTGTATCGTCAGAAAATATTTTAAATACGCTATTATTAAATAAATATGCCATAATTTGTTTCATTACATAATTTACAATACAATAATAGCTTTAAAATTATCCATGACAACTATAAATTCATATTTTTACTGATTTTTTTTTACTGAAAAATGGATTTTATTAATACATTGTCTTTGTCTTAATGTGCACAATTTACTAGTGTGCATTATTTCAACGAAAATGTTACTCCAACAACAACAAAAAATCTAAATTTCTAAACATTTTTAATCAAAATGAAGTACCTGTTAGTTAGATTTTATTAAAAACATAAAGTAACATGAGCTCATATAATGTAGTACAAATAATTAGTTAGGAATTTAGAAACGAATTGTTAGAGATTTCTTGAAAGCTTAAGTTCTGTATATCTTATAGGCCTCGTTTTTTCTGTAGTAGCCAGTAGTTCAGATTTTTACTTTACCTGCCAACATTTTCATTCGCACAAAATTATTAAAAAAAATGATATCAAAAATGATTTTACGAAAGAAGTCTCTTATGCTTACCAAGGCTGCGTTTATTTGATCAAAAACAGTAATAATTGTGAAATATTATTGCAATTTAAAATAAGATTTTTCTATTTGAAAATATTTTCAAATGTAATTTATTTGCGTGATGCAAATCTGAATTTTCAGCGGCCATTACTCCAGTCTTCAGTGTGATACTTCTATTTGTCAGGATTATTTGATGAATAGAAAGTTTATTTATTTCTCACTGAATATTTTGTTTCCCTCAGAAATGCGTCACATTACTGAAGTTAAAGGTGTTGTGGGTGCTGATGCTTCATCTTTCTTTACATTATTACTTCAGAGGGAAAAGGGCAAATCTCTTGAATTAACTCCAAACAAGAAACCTCAAGCTGTGACCTTAGAGGCTGATTCAGTCCAGGAAAAGCTTTCAGATCAGAGCCCAGCAAAACACCAAACTACCCGACCTCTCACCCCCTGTTCGGGTACACCAGGTTCCCAGGCTCTGCAGGACCTGATTGAGCTTGCAGAGGAAGGCATGACCCTCACCCAGTATGGATACACAATGTATACAGCCGCAGGGGACAAGTCAGGTAATATTGGTATTCTGTCACAAAAATACTTTTTTTTTTTTTATTCTCAAGCTCACACTGTCCCATGTTCTTTAGTTAGCGATAATGCTGTGAATGAACTTCCCTCAAGTGGATTTGTTCCAGAGACAAATGACAACAAGTCGCCTAAGAAAACCTCAGTAAGAATTTCCTTCAGTTTTATCCACTTGTACTCTGTTGTGATTGGCTCCATATTAAATGTTCATTAAAGTTGTCTAGTATTTTTCTGAGTCCATTTTTGTGTTTTTCAGGTGTACGTTTCAAAGCTAGCATCAGATCTGAGCAGCATGCTGAACAGCCCTCAACTCAGTGATGTGCAGTTACAGGTGGACAGTGGGGATGTTTTCTTCACGCACTCGTTTATGCTGTACACACGATGCCCCCTGCTGGCCAACATGGTTAGTGTAGCTGCACACTGACGCCACAAGCATGAACTAATAATCGAGAAGTGCAGACGAATAACCAAACTGTTACCATGTGTTTGTAGGTTCATGACTCAGGTTTTGGCGTTCAGGAGGAGGGTATGCCTGTCGCTCAGAGGGTGTTGTTGGGTAATGTGCTTGGGGAGGCAGTACTGGCCCTCCTGCAGTATCTTTACACAGCCCACTGTCCTCTAACACACACTCTGCTACCCCACATACAGGAGCTTGCCGATAGGTTAGAATGACGATCCTTATGGTGTGATTCAAATATTACAATTATTTCCCAATCCTACTGGATATAAATTGATTCTAGGATAGTAAATCTGTGTTGTATTTCAGATTTGGTTTGGTTGAGCTGCAGCAGCAGTGTGAGGAATATTCTGGAAGTGTAGAGGAAAACCCAAGAGAGGAATCTGAAGGCATGTTTCCAGCACCTGAGCCTCATCTCAGGGACCAAGAAGACCAGAACTTGGCAGAAAGCAACTTCTTGGAGCTCCTCCAATCAATGTGGCAGCATGGGGACAGCGAAGAAGAGGATGACTTTAAAGAAACTGCCGGAGAGGAAAGAGACATGGAAGAGGAGCGAGAGGGAGGACATGGAGAGAAAGAGGACCGGGTGGATGAGGAAGAGCTTGATGAGATCTATGAGTTTGCAGCGACACAAAGGAAGATAGAGACGGTGTTGGAGACTGCGACCGAGGAAGAGGAGGGAGATGCAAATACATTCCTCGGAAATGAGAAGAAGGAGAAAAATGAGACAGAATCCCTTTTAGAGAAATCTGCCGGCAGTTGCTATAGTAACAAACAAGGCGCTGATGGGACGGAGGCTGCCATGGTAACAAGTCCAACAGAAACCCTTAAAAACCCCAATTCAGAGACTGAGAGAGCTTGTTTGATTCCAGAATTAGATGAAAACAGAGACTCAGATGCCAGTCTAGACAAGAGTTATGACGGTTTATTCTCCCAGTCTGTAGGGGAATACATGGAACCGTCACAGACGCAAGCGTCCTGCTCTCAGCAACAATGTTACAAGCCATCAAGCACACTACAGCAAAACACACCCGCCCCATTTCGCCCTTCATGTGTCAGTGAGGTGACTGACCTGTCTATAAGCCCTCCACCAAGCTCAGGTGTGTCAGGTGAGACTTCCTTCCCCATGCCTGGAGTGTCTCCTGTTCTACATGAGGGTGAATATACAGGTACGTCTCCACTAAGAAAAGACAGTTCAGGATGCCAGGGAATTGAAAACCCTCCTTCCCCTCCAGAATCTCAAAGCAAGCAGGTTGAGCTCATTGTTCTCTCAGATTCCGGTGATGAAATGTATGTAGATAATGGTGACCAAAATGCTGCTACCACTAAACGTGCTTTGACTCCTCCGTCTCCTTGTGAATCTCCCTTAGAACCTCCTCAGAGGTCCACAAGCTATGCTTGTAAAGTCACAGAGAACAGTTTCAAAGAATCTGGATCCCAAGGCCATGCCGGCAAACAGGTAGATGTTTCCAAGCAGATAGATACTGATATAGAAGCAACGTCTGACCGATCAGAGCACTGTAGCCCCGGGGTTGAGAATGAAAGTGTGTTTGATGGCTCTGCCGAGGTTTCCTGGCTGATTCCAGCCACTCCGGTACCATCCACACACTGTAGCTCTGCCCAGACCTGCATCAGCATGCGCCGAACCCAGCTCTTCCCCAAGTCATCGTCCTCTTCTTCCTCTTCCTCTGTCTCGGAGGGTTTAAAATCTGCTAGCTCTGCTTCTTCAAGCAGCAGCTGCCTAAAAGAGAAACCAGCAACATTGTCCACATTGCACAAATCATATCAGAGTCCCTCTAAAGAATGTCATAGCATTGAAACAGATCGTTCTCCAGGCTACCAGAGACCACTTCACCATCTAAGACTGTCTCAGGTTTCTTCTACAGGTGTTTCTGATGGCTCCCACATTGGCATCATCATGGGACATCCAACACAGGGTGTCCCCAAGCCCTCCAGTAGCACTCCTCTCCATTCAGACTCTTCCTTACAACATCAGATCCCATTTTGCTCCCCTATGGTTGACGACCGTAAGGTTCAGCTTAGGAATTGTAGAGGTAATTCTAGATCCTTCGGTAGGCAGGGGAAAGTTGACCTAGTGTCTCTACAACTGAGTTCTCCTAGTAAAACGCCTGAGAAGCAGCAGAGTAGCTCTCTTCAGCAGGGATGCTCCAGTCCGTCCCCGAACTCTCCAAGATACATTCATCCAGAAAGTTTGAGAGAGAGTGAGAACGATGGGATAGAACGAATGGAATTGGGAGAGAATCCAAATCAAAGTGTTGAAGAATTGCGGGATATTGCGGGAAACTCCTCCTGTGACATGGATGAGACTGGAAGAGGAGTGAGAGAAGAGAATCCAAATCAAAGTGTTGACGAAGTGGTTGATATTGCAGGAAACTCATTTTGTGTCATGGATGAGCCTCCTATAGCGTTTGATGACTCCTGCGGTTTGGATGGAGGGGTTGGAAGCCAGAAGCCCTGCTTTAGTCTAAGACTTGACAGCAGTGGAGGTACAGTCAGTCCACCAGGTCTCGAGGGTAAGGGACCAACGTCCACGTCTCCTCTTGCAACTGGAGCTTGTAACAAAATTCCTGATCAAAGTCCAGGTCCATTTAATCACAGCCTACCTGACCCTGACATGTGGGATGATTGGGAGGAAGAGGAGGTTGCTCCCCTTCCTCTTTCTCAGAGATTGACAGCTCCCTCTGCCAAGAGAGTTGCTGAACTAAAGACTCCAGGTAAGACAAGTCGTCCTCTGTGTTAGTTATGTTTCACCGGAGCTCTTATTTGTTATGACATGGGTACACAGATGTTAATTATGCATTCAGAAAGCCCTTTTTGTTTTAGAAAACCTTCTTAAAATCAACTTTACCTTTCTGCACAGTTGCTTGCAGAAAGAGGAATAAAGGACCGCTGGTGCCCATCACTCCCATGCCAGGCTTCTCTGATATGGACACACCAGAGCTCAAAAACAGACTCAACAGGTGAGCATAACAAGAATATATAGATATTACAATGCCTAAAAAGTGTATTAATGCCATTGCATAGCACAAACAAAGTGGAAAACAACTGAAACTAAAATTACCTTTTGCAATGACTTTTAACTGTTTACAAGTTAATTGTTTTGTGCACGTATTAAGTCAGTTCTATAAGTTTTATAACAGACACGTCTGCCAAAGCATCACGTTCAATAACACAGAGCTGCGAAATGTTTTTTTGTCCAGGTTCGGTGTGCGTCCGCTGCCCAAGAAGCAGATGGTTCTGAAGCTGAAAGAGATCCATCAATACACCCACCAGCTGCAGAGCTCAGAGTCTGAGGAGGAGACCTCTGGACCCCAACGCCACCCGAATGCCTCCAACTTCCAGTCTGCTCCGCTCTGCTTTAAGCAGCCTACAGCGCCCCCTGCTGTCTCACCTGTGAAACTGCCGCCAAGTGAAGAAGATGAGCTTTTATCAGCCTCTCAAAACTCGAATACATCCTCCACTGCAGAGTCCGAGAGGTACAGCTCTTATATGGCTATATGCCCAATTAATACTACAAAGCAAACTTCGTTCAACCATTTTCTTCTTTCCAGGTCGAACCCAGAGCTGTGTGTGTCAGAAGATGACGACTCGGACAGCGAGGGCATCACGGCGTCTCAGGCTGTTGTGCGCGAGAAGGACAAACTCCTCGCAGTTCGTCAGTTCATCCTATCCGACCCCAAGCTGTACACCCGAGTGCTGCAGTATCAGCCTCTCTCCCTGGCGGAGCTGCGGTCCAGCTTGAAAGCGGCGGGCATCAGGTTAGGTGCTGCTAAACTACTAGACTTCCTGGACTCTCAGTGCATTACCTTCAGTACGGCCAAACAAGGCCAGAATGCATCTTCCCGCAGGAAACGACGTGTGAAAACGACAACCAGCGGTGGTGCAGCCGGAAGAGGGAGGAAAAAAGCAGCTAAGCCCAGTGGAGGAATTGCATGAGGGCTGCAATAAAATTATGTGGTAAAACTACACGATTTTAAGAATAAGTTGTTAAAGGACAATAATGGTCTTCATCTTTTCAACTAAACTGTTTCTGATAAACACGTCTGATACACACTCAGGATCTTAAACCTTCCAGTTTCAGATTGATGTTTTTTTTTTTTTTGTACAATGTTTGAATTGAAAATATTATTTTAAATGAATTTAATTTAATGTCTGGATAATGCAATTAAAAGACATTTCTTTATGTATATGTCACATGTTCAAGCTGTTTTATGTTGTGAATTTCATCCAACAGTTTAGAGATTTCTAAAACCAAAATGTGCCTCTCAAACAAACCCCTTGCCAAAAAAAATTTAAAAAAATTACGAAAACTGTAATAAATGTGCGGTCAACCAGTTTTGCTGAATAATATTAAGATTGTATTATTTTTGCATTGTGACAATATTTTCATGAAAAACAAGTATATTTCACAAAACTAGCATTAGCCTGTAATGCAAAAAAAAAAAAAAAATGTGTATTACAATATACAATTATATGTGTCCAGAAATTATTTTCATTATTGTATGACAATAAGAATAATTTTTTCACTTGCACTTATTTAAAAAAAAATCACAATGTAAAAATATTAAATAAAAATTATTATATGATAATGATTAGTTAATAAATATAAAATATGACTCCTAAATTTGCACCCAATGATATCAGAACGTGACCAACAGTGAACAAAATCACCAAAGACGTCTTGAAAAACTTTTACTGGACTTTTTTTGGGGGGGAGGGGGGGTTGTTTTATAACATCACTTTTTTTCAAAGATCTGCCGAGAAAAACAGACATCTCACATTCTAACAAAAAGAAAAGCAGAAGAAAAATCTGATCATCTTCCGTGTGCATGAGAGAGAGTCCGGGTCCGGCTGGGCAAACAGTTCCACAGGAAGGGCTGAATTTCTTACAGTGTGCAAATCTCTCGCATGATCACCTGAGCTCATCAGGAGAGTCAGGCTGCACTGCCTCAGTCTGGACCGGTCAGCCACATCTCCTCATGCCCCATCATGCCCCATCATGCACCTGTCATGACAGGTTGGCAATGTTGGCCAGGAAACGCTTGGCCCACCACTCCTCGAGATCAATAGGCACAAAATCTGAAAAAGACAGAGACTGGGTGAGTTCTTTGAGATCGTACCATATTTTAATTAAACAATAGCGCACAAAATGTATGGACTTTTTTTTTTTTTTTTTCATTTGTAGTGTGGAAGCAGCTTTTCTTCAAAACAGATCCTTTTGTGCTCCGGAAACTAATTCATACAGGTTTGGAACGACATGAGGGTGAGTAAATTACCATTTTTACATTTAAATTGAATTTGTGTATCCGAAAGACAGAAGAGGCCTTCAAAATAGGCTGAGAAGAGAGAACAAGTCAGCAAAATAGAGACTATTTAAAGAAAGTAAATAGGACAGAAGTCCTAGACTGACTCTTCATGCCGGGATTGGGGCTTCTCTCCGCGTACTGAACCGGGCCTTTCCCGTTCTCCGGCTGGGATCCCTCTCCAAGCTTATGTTCCACCTCCTGCCAAGCTGCAATCATAAGATATTGTATCAGTATAAAATTACAATTCAGTCTTCCAACAATTAACACCTTAAAAAGGTCATAAATCAGAGAAGAAATCTTAAATTCATAGTCATGGCATTAAATGTTGCATCAATTGCAAAAAAACTTTCACTGTATTTTGGTCTTGTTTTCCAGTTCAAATATCTAAACATCCTTAAATCAAGATACATTTACTTGAGATGCAAGATGATGATATGAAGTCTTGTTTTCTAAGAAATTTAACAAAACTAGGTGTTTATGCGTAAAACAAGAACAAGCATCTGTCAATGGAGTATGAAACTTTTTTTCCCTTCGAGTTTTCACACCATAATTGATTTTTTTTGTAAAGTGAATGAAAAAGTAATGGCAATATGTAGGAAGTTGTATATCAAACTTTAAAGTGCTGCTAATGCAACTCATTAGAATTCCTAGACATGGAAAAATCTTACATTTATCTTCATAAAATCTGCAGAAACTCTTTACATACTGCTCTCATGTAGATTAAAATTTGCAAGTCATGGTGACGTCTAATTCATTAGTGAATCATTCATTTGAGTTGATTCTTTTCAATGCATGTTCATATTGTAGCCAGAACGATTCATTTGTGAACAAGTCTATATCTGAATGTCTTTTCAAATCCTTCATTCAGTGATCAAAAACGAATGGAGAGGTATACAAACCAAACAGACATGTTTTGTCCTAATTTGCATCGTATCCCAACATACTACTTGTGAAAACACTACAAATGCAATGCATCACAACAAAAGAAGAGTTTAGATCTAGAAAAAACATGATTTTCTTCTCATTGGCAACTCGGTAGAAGTAAATGTGGACACCTTTTACCAATTCTAATTGCTTCCTTTACACTCCCTAAACCGGTTGCGAGATTTTACCGGATCATACAGCTCTTTTCGATTGACTAAAGCAGTTTTGCAAAACATTAAGCCTCAGTTGACTAGCCTGTCATTGTACAAAAGAGCATGAAAACTGCCCTTGAGGGCCATTGCATCAGCTGCTGGAGGTGGAGCCTGGCCTGCAAACAAACACCCTCCTCCTGAAGATAAGAATTGCCCTGTTACACACAAACTTTGCTGGACTTACCTCATTATAAAGTACATTTATGGAGTCTGAACCCCAGTCATTCACAACTTTAGTTTGCACATGATTAAACTCTTACAACTTTAATAAAGAATCAAGACAAGCTGCAAACTTGTAACGACTTCAAGTTACTGGAGAGCCTTGAATCCGTTTGGTCGCTCTTCAAAGTCCATTAAGGTCATGGCAACTACTTGCCCCAACCTTAGCCCTCCTCAAGGTCTCAGTGGTCAAGGATTCAACATTACTGAACTCACCCTCATAAACAAACCGAACATTTTCCTCGTGTGCTGGGGTGAATCCCTCACTAGTGTTCTCAGCTTTTGGAGAGGTTGATCTGTGGAACCGCTTTCCGTTCAGCCGGTGAAATACAATCTTAGGCGCTGGTGAACTACAAACAATAGATCAAGACGAGTTTTCAAGAATCATCCTGGGATTATTACATTCGGTCTCCTTCAATTTACATTGCATTCATCTCTCATTTGCACACTTTAAATCTAAATAAAGAAATTGTATTCATTTAAAAAGAAACATTCACTTTCATTACATGGAAAAAGAGTACATTCTTTAACATATATAACAATATTAATTCCGATTTTAACGGCTAAACGCGAATTTTTGGTGAACTGTTTCTTTAAGTCCAAATACTTCCTTACACAATGTCGTTACTACAGTAACAGCGACACGTTATGAAACACGGTTGTTTATTATATCAGCATAACAAGCGGTATAAGTTATATTAAACCGGTGAAATCTCAAACGCAAAATGACAGACAAACGCGACCCTCTCTAGCCTAGAAAGCAGCACGCGGAGCTACACGACGTCCTTGTGGGAATATGAGGGGGGTGTGACAAGCATGTGCTCGCATTATAATAACCCCAAAAGGTTAGTGATTAACCCTTATACCGACATGAAGACGAATACATTCGCGACACAATCTTCAAACACGCCGACAAACCACGCGTTCTCGGAAACGCGCGCGCTACACTTGCAAGGTCACACACACGGCGCAAGAAAAAAACAAGCGACTTTGGCAAAAGCGTAAAGACGGGACGTCCTGGCTTAGAAATGAGGCCAACTTGTTCGGTACGGATACTTTTAAGTGTGCTAAACTCATACACGAGACGGACACGCTTTTTAAAGGCGCAGTTAAATCATTTTTCCCCTCAGGGACCAAACTCAGGTGTTACATATAAATGCTATTACTACTCACTCCGATACAAACCAGTGGCTTTGCTTCTGTTTCAGGTCGTTCGCTTTGCTCTCAATCTGTTGCGTAGGGCCTGCAAGAAACAATATCTGTTAATACGTATTTAAAGTAATGTCAACCATATTAAATAGACGCACGTGGTTTATTCTTAAATATCTACTATAATAAAGTTAAAAGAACGCTAAATAAATAACGCACCGACTAATGTGACATGATATGTATGCGTGCTGGTGAAATTATACCTGTTCTCCGTTGTGTAACAAGTTTGCTGGGACCTCTGGTTATTGTGTACATCATGTGAGACACGGTTTCTGAAGAACCCCTGCGGCGCGATAGATCCACGCGAGGTCTACGGATCGCTCAGTGCGAAAGTCACGATTATACGCACGCCAGAAAACGTCACGCGATCCCGCTTCAGGACGCAGCTCTCTTGACGCAGCCACCGTGGAAACGAGCAGCGATCCTGATCGCAAATATGCAGTTCAGATTTAAGCGCCGTGCGTTTACTTGAGGTCAGTCAAGGTTAAGAGCGTGTATTGCCCTGATTACGCGTCGGAGTGCCCGGTGCTGAGAAACTTTCTGAGCTCTGGTTCGGTCTGGACTCTACTGTAAACTCGGACGTTCAGATCGCATTCGTAGCCTTCTTCCGTGACGTCACGGCACGCCCCCCGCGATGTTCAACCGGGGTCACCTTTCACCTTGTGGACGCCATCAAACTGGCTCTGTGTACCATCTAAACACGGGTTTCATCATGCCGCCAAACATACAACTGATAACCGCGTAACGTTATAATAAACGACCGCGCGGTATGATAAAGTCGGGCTGCGCAAATGTGCGCTGCTACGAGGCGCTTCGCGCACCACGTGGGAACCAGGCGCTCTTGTGTAAAATTCATGTCTGCAAACGTACCACTGAACTGATTAAAGTGTAGAGTAACACGAGCGCGCATTAAAGACCACGGGTTGCGCATGCGCAAATGTGCGCGGCTAAGACACGGTTCCGGCCAGGCTTTACGTGGTACCACATTAACAGTTTGTTTGGGTCAAACCATACGGTTAACCTCGCTAATCTGCGATGCAGGTACTTTAGTTACACCTTTCACTCTTTAAACCAATAGGACTAAATATAACAAGAAATAAGAGAGGAAAACCCATCTGAGGCAATTGTTACATAACCACTGTTGTACAACAGTCCTTGAAATGCAACTACTAAGACAAAATGGCTGTTAATTAAGAATTTTATAATTTTATTTTAGTATAACCATCAAAGAAAACAGGAACATGCCACTTTCAAATAATCCTGAATTAGTATTTATGTATCCAACGTTTGGTAGCTGCCTGAGATCTTGCCTCAGATCAAGATCTGTTGCTCATTTTATAAGTTTATTGACCCCTCTTGAGGTAGGTATAACTACAGAAATGTGGTTTTACGTGTAACCTGTTCATTAGCTATCAGTACCAGACTTAGCAAACCCAAATAGCAAGGTATACACAGCCAATTTTATGAACGAGAGAGAAGCCATACCTTATCCTAAATATTCAGTAGCTCAGCAATTTTTTAATGCCGTTTCTGCACAATTTAAGTAGCAGTAAAACAAAAGCTGGTTTACTAAATGAATTCCCCTCTCTTTCCTCAAAAATGTCCTTCTTCAATGAATAATGCCATTAAAATGGAAATAAAATAATGATATTACCTATATAGTCAAATTGGCTCACCTGAGTGGGTGTGTACAGTACATTTGAACATTGATATTTACATCTCCCATATTATAAATTTTACACAATGAAAGCATTTTGTTACCCTGTAAATTTCAAGTCTCTACAGCATGCTTCCTAAATCAGAGCAATTCATTACAGACATACTTTAATATTTTGAGTTTAGCAGAACAGTTTAGTTGCTTGAATTGCTAAAGGCCTAACCTAGTGATTGTACAATGTGGCATTTCAGTAGTGAGGTTCACAGTCCTCTACGAGACTGTCGGTGATGTAGTTGATCTTCAGTAGTTGCTGGTAGTACTGCTTCTCTACAGCCGTGTTCACCGTCCAGCCCACCACCTCTACACCGCGGGCTGCCCAGTACTGCACACAGTCCCTAGTGAAAGAACAGTGACCATTTTAAAGAGCAATGCACACTCCTCTACTGTAGGTGGCACTGATGACTTACTAGATCAGCTTTAAATGTTCCTACACAGATACAGTCATATTCACTTGTATGTATGTACTTGCCTGTTTTGATTTTGGATTTTGATTTTTTTTAATAAAAAAATGCATTTATTGTATAGAGTACTGCAGGAATGAGTCATAAAACCTAAAAACGAGTTAGGATTTTAGCACTTCCATTTCCATTGTCAGTGTTTTTTTTAATGGGTTTTTGGTTAAAGGGGTCATATGATGTTGCTAAAAAGAACATTATCTTGTGTATTTGGTGTAATGCAATGTGTTTATGTGGTTTAAGGTAAAAAAAAAACATTATTTTCCACATACTGTACATTATTGTTTCTCCTCTATGCCCCGCCTTTCTGAAACGCGTCGATTTTTACAAAGCTCATCGGTCTGAAAAGTGAGGTGTGCTCTGATTGGCCAGCTATCCAGTGCGTTGTGATTGGCCGAATACCTCAAGCGTGAGACGGAAATGTTACGCCCCTTGCCATATTGTGATGATGCCCTGTCCGGCCGGAGCGATGATTCAAGTGATTGTGATTCAAGTGAGGAACGGCGGGAGGGTTAGAGTGAGCAGAGGCAGGGGCTTGAGAACGGTGCGTCCGGCGATTTCGACGAAGGAGTGTCCGGAAGGACGTGACGACTCCGGGCTGGACTCTGCTTCGTCCACGGTGAAAGCCGATCCGGCGATCCACAGCGCAAAGTTGTAGTATTTCCTCAGCGACCAGCACGGATCAGCTCCAGGCATGACGAAGCAGATGTCCTCTTTTGGAAGACCAAACAAAGTAGTTTCGCTTTTACAACGAAGCACACAGTGCCTTTATGACATTGCGGCGGAAACAACAAAACTACAGCGAGAATAAAAGTTACGCCGCCTTTCAAATTTATTCACTTTTCAATTTTTGTTTTCAAAAAGCTCAGTTTTCCTTGACAAAAACACTGTCTCCGTGTGGATGGAAGGCCAAAACGCAGAGAAAAAGATGCATTTTCAAACTAAAACATATTAGTGTGGACAAGGCATAAGTGCTCCAAATTGACCAAGCTGTCCATATGACTCCCTAATCCTAAATATAAACAATAATATGATGCCTGACAGCGCTAACAACCACTGAAGTCCCACCTGTAGCATTTCAGAGAGGACTAAGAAAATAAGTGTTAGGGTTGTGCAGCAGTGGTCAAAGATAATGGTCAGTGACCCATTTCATGGTCAGTGACCCAAAATACAACCCATTTCAGCAGTTACATGCAGTGGTTGCTTTTCTGTAACTGACAGATATGCGCAATTTATTTTAAGACCTGCGGTAGGTGTGTTAAACACCTTACGGTAATGTAATACACACAATGATATGGCTTCACAATAATAATCTAAAAATAGCAATAATGTCATGGTGACTCACGGCGAGATGAAGTTCTTCTGCACCAGGAAGGCGGAGACTCCACACAGGTTCCACAGCAGGTGATGATGAGCCCAGTCCAGGAGCACATCCAACACCTGCATCCAGTGGTGCTTCCACGCGGATGAGAACCGTGGCGTCCCGTCGCCAAACCGACTCAGACTCCACGGCCGATGGGTCAATGAGGTCACCACATTCGGATCCGCCTGTCGCATCTGGAAAAGATCAGCCAATACACTTTTATATTAGTGTAGAAAAAAATGTATATGTATGTAGAATATATGAATTGTTAAAAAAATGAAATTCAGGTCCCGTCAAATGCAATCGGACTGGATTATGTTACCCTATAGATGACTTTGGGCTCAAATGAGCAGACGATGCTTGTGTTGTAGAGTACTGGATACTTCTGGAATAATTCTTTCAGTGCTGCAGCCACCTGTGGACAACAGATACATGAAAGCATTAATATTCTGGTTTCCCAATGCAAGAATCATTAAAGTTCTTGCTAAGCAACAACCTGTGGATCAAGATTGAAGAAATGGGCCCACCAACAATGGACCATTGACAGTTGATGGTACCTCATCTGGATGACCTTTGACGTCAAAGTAGATGGTCAACTGGCGCTTGATGCATTCCTCTACTGCCTCCTGCAGCGTTGGAACCTTCTCACCTCGGAAACGGTCACTGCTCGCAACCAACAACAACATACCACCTGCTGTCTTTAACTTGGTCTTGATTATTTGTTCTCTATGCATGAAACAAGGCTGTCTTTCTTCCCATCTAACTTGAATCTGTGTTTGGCTGCTGCATCCAGTTTGCGCAGTTCAGAGAAGAGCAGCTTGCTCAGTGGTCCTGATCCGTTTGTGGTTCGGTCCACGGTGTCATCGTGCATCAGTATGGGAACCCCATCGGCCGTGAACTCCAGGTCCAGCTCCACACCCGTGGCTCCATTCTCACTCGCCTTTCATTTAGAAATAAGAGTCATTATAAAAGGAAGAAACCAGTGATTGGTGTGAGATTTACAGTGTGTTGAGGAAAACCACAGATAATACAATGCTTTCACAATGTTTGAAAGATAGAAGAAATACAAGAAATGAGCTTTTGAGGTTAAAGAACATGTGATGGTGATAAAAGAAAGAAAGAAAGGAAAGTAGATATTTATATAATATTTAATGTGCAGTCAAATAATATACATTAAATAATTAAATGGAGCAAATGGAAGTAAACAAGTAAATAAAACTTTAAAGTTAAGATACACATTTTTAAAAACTTGGCCTCATAAATGCAACATAGTTTGTATAATTTATATAAATTATACATTGTTTACTTTGAATATTGGTGGCTTGGTGCTCCTGTATTGTAAGTCGCTTTGGCAAATAAAAATAAAAAAGCATCTGCCCAATTTTCGTTCGTGCAAATTTTGTTTTGTAAATAATCTAGATATAATATTTGCATGTATATTTGCATTACAACACTCCTCGGCTTTTGGTTCATCACGAGTCGGACATGTTTGAAAGAAACGATTCTCTGTTCAATCAGCCAATGAACCGCTGTATTTGATTCGTTAAAAACTCTTTCATTTGAACGAGCTGAACCGATTCATTCAAAAGATACGACTCGTTCACGAATCGAACATCGGTGCTGTCAGTGTGATACTTGTTGTATCACTTTATGTGTTGTCTTTAAAAATAAGCATGCAGTTGCTTTAAATTAGCACTGCCACGAAAAAAAAAACCATATTTAAACATTTAAAAAAATAAAATAAACCAGCATAATGACATGCTCACCGCGCGTATAGCAGCTATGGTGTTCTCTGGAGCGTCGTGTCCACCACCGCGGTGCGCCACCGCTGACACGCCGCCCGACGACACTCTAGACCCGGGCCGAAGCACCCGTCTGGCCCGGCTGGAGGGGACCTGGGGGAACCGGAACATCACCATGAAGAGGTAGAGAGAGGCCGTGAGCACCGTGGGCCAGACGGAGCTTCTGGTTCCCAGCAGAACCACGATGAAGACAACAGAGAACAGCGTGAGCTCATCTCCTAAATGAAGCATGATGAGAAAACGAACCTACAAACCACGAGCTCTATTACTGCAACTAATCAATCGGTGATCAATAAACATGTAGGATCAGCGGTCAGCTACTCGATCGATGCAAGCGTCGTTGCTTTCAGATAAAATCCGCATCGCGAGCGTTCAGTCTCGAGTCATTCATTGCCACACAACTGTATGACAGACCTGCTTCTTGCATTAATGAACTGTCATTAAAAAATGTATTAATGACATCACGGATGCATTGCGAAATTGCTCGCGCGACCAGTTTGACTGCTGACGCCCTCATCACAGTAAACAGCATTAACTGATATTAATGACATCCTAAATGAAAGCATTTATACTGCGTGTCGTATTGTGCCGATAACCTGTTTAGCCTGCTTGATGAGCTACGAGCGCAAGATCTCTAGAATAAAATACCTATCCGATGCGATGCATTGGTGGAAAGTTCCTACTATTGAAAATAACAACATAAAAGTTCCTGTGTTTAAAGGATTTTTGGTTAAATAATATAAATAAATGCCTAGTATAAGTCAATTTCACACAAAAAAATAGTACATTTTATTATTTCGTAAACTATAATTTAAATGTATATAACACATTTTACATTTGACAAGTTTATAAACAACTCAGAGACTTTTATTATGAAGTGTTCAGCTTTACAGAAGCACTGCGCGATGCGCTGAACTTGTCTGGAGATGGTAAGTGCGTTCAAAACTGCATAAATTGTTAATTTTAGTACATATTAATAACTTATTTTGGCCATTTGTTTTGTGCGTTTTCTTTGTAATTAATATGTCTTAGCTGCCTAGAACACGAGTTGCAAATACCTTTTAAACTGAGTTCATACAATGATTGTGTTTTGAAAGGCAGACATAAAAACCCCGTGTGTAAAGGATTTTGTTTGATACGAGACAAAATTGAGCAAAAAAAGTCAAACTAAAAATACAACCATTTAGTATTTGATTTAATTGTACAACTGAATTATTTTATTTATTTATTTATTTTTTGCATTTCAAAAGTATACAAAAGTTATTTTATTGTGATAACAGCACAAGGACTTTTACTTTGAAGTTCGTTTCACTGACTTTCTATTCTATCCCGTTTCACAGAAGCACTCCGCGATGCACTGAACTTGTATGCAGATGGTAAGTGCGTACATAACTGCATAAATTGTTGATTTTAATACATTGTATTGTATTCATCTTTCGTGTATTGTCTTTCATTGTCAAATATTTAGCAGCCTGAAACCCTTTAGCACATATCCTCAATCTGAGTTCCCCTAAGGATTGCCCTTGACAGCCAGTATATCTTACTCTACTTGTACCCACAGGATAAGTATTTTTAAGTAAGTGTGCTGTATTATCAAGTTTTTTTTTTTTTTTTGGCGTTATCAAGTCAACTTTTAATAACTACTGTTACCATGGTTACTGTCTCCTCAGATGATGTCAGCACGCTTAATCCACATTTCCCGTCTTCCTCTATATGGGTGCCGGTGTCATCGTGCAGGACTCATTTCACACACTCATGTGCAATACAGCAGTGACCTGGTGCACGTGGGTCGCCGGAAGCCCATTGCATTCACACACGCTATGTCATTCAGTTCTGATCTTGCCTCAAGGAAATACAGTCTAATTTACACTTTTCCGGCTATCAAAGGCCTGCGGGCTCTTTCTAGACTCAAACTGATGCAGACGGGCATCACCGTCGTCTTATTGCCCACAGTGTACTACCTCTACCTGCAGGGACAGGCGTCAGTAATGCTGCTGAGTTACTCCACAGGCATAGCTGTGTTTGCCGGCATCATGCTGTACTCCATAAGCCACTATGTCAGACGAGTGGTTGGCATGATGTATCTGGATTCAACGCGGACCGTCTTAAAGGTGTCGCACCTGACCTTCTGGGGTCACAGACGGGACATATACGTGCCCGTGTCAGATGTCATGACTCTGGGAGAGTCTGGGGATACCAAAGGAGAACCGATCCTGTGTTTAAAGCGCTACAGCCGTTCTGATACAATGTACTTCTCTCCCAGACTGGGACGAGTGGTGGACAAAAATGCCTTTGAGAAGGTTTTTGGGAGTTTGTCGTGAATTTAGTTTTCTCTTGTTTTTTTTTCATGTTGTGTCATACGCCACTGGATATTGTCTTGTAATTTAAAAGTGACAAATAAAGATGTTATTCATTTCACATTCATGAAAAATGTTAATAGAATGGTGTAGAGATGACGTATTATGATGTATTTTTGTAGGCCAACCCGGAAGTGCATCACCGTGGTTCCTTCACAAAAAAAACCTAGTATTATTTTTCCATTGGCTTTTGGATTGCTGCAGAAAATAAGCTCTGTGACCAATAAAAGTTAACGGTTTCTTGTTATAATTTTAAACGGTAACATTTTAGCAGTTGAAAACATTTGTTAGAAATTTAGAAACGTAATCAGTTACATTACTTTAATATATTAATTGAAATAGTTAACTTACACTACTTATTACATTTAACATTCAAGAAACCGATTTTTTAAACTATCATTTATAACTGCTTTGATCTGTTTTGATCAGAGAAATCAGTTTCTTTAAATAAAAAAAATAGCTCATTATTATTCTGAGTTTAAATTTTGAATAATAGATTCAAAATTAGGCTACCTTGGTTATAAAGACTGGCATATTTATTTATTTCAGCAAAAATCCTACACAAAATGCTTTGAAGACTCCCCAGATAGCAACAGAGTCTGGCTTAATTCTGGCACTGTTTTTTTCTCTCTCCACAGTCTTGTGCCAAACAGCATTAGGCTGAGCTCTGGCTGGGGTCTGGCCAACCAAAAGAAACAAAAAGCAATACTCCAGCCACAGCTCAGCCAAACATAGCCATGGCTGGATGGTCCGCCAGAAAAAGAAAATATTCAGCTGAGATCTGGGTGGGTTGTGATTACCCGAAGAGTAAATCAAAGATCTCTGGCATGAATGTGCTTTAAAGTAAAACAGCCTTGTGTAAGATGTGTGTGGTGTTATTAAGCGGTTCATATTTATTTTATACATCATCATAAAGTTAATTTTGTCAAAAAGAATAAAAAATGTCTTTGTTCTAGTTAAATATCCTAGCCTATACGATATTTATTTAAATAGCAGACACTTTTATCAAAAGCGATTTAAGAACTATGAATACAACAAGTAATTAATCACGAGGGGGCAGTAATAAAAGTGTTTTTAAAGAAAAGAAGACTTGATGATCATTCTGTTGACAAGATTATTTTGATGGGCAGTTAAGGCAGACAAGGAGGTTTCAGTGTGCAGAATGAGAAAAACAAAACGAAATGTTTGCAGAATGATCGAAGACAGAAACAAATATTTAGAGTGAGGATTGTCTTGATTTCCTTGTAATAATGAATAATTTATAATGTGTATTTTGTAACGAAAAAATAAAAAATCCGCAGTTCCCCAGCGCAGTCTGGGCCAATGCTTCTTAGTTATATATATATATATTTTATTGTATATGCTGAACATTTAACATTCATACCATAAAGAAACATTACAAACAGGACATTAACATTTTATGAGGGGAAAAAAGAAAAAAAAGGTAGAAACAATAATACTAACAGAAGGGTATACATCTATAATCACAATAGAAAGGAGTTTAGTTCTGTGAATGTATCCATAGTTGTGGTTGCGGACGTAGTTTGCAGTGCATCTTGCAAATAGTAGTTGATTTACATCTACGTCGTTAAATCCGCTTTACAAAAAAGGACTACTTTTCCCAGAGTGATGACGTATTATGATGTATTTTTGTAGGCCAACCCGGAAGTGCATCACCGTGGTTCCTTCACAAAAAAAACCTAGTATTATTTTTCCATTGGCTTTTGGATTGCTGCAGAAAATAAGCTCTGTGACCAATAAAAGTTAACGGTTTCTTGTTATAATTTTAAACGGTAACATTTTAGCAGTTGAAAACATTTGTTAGAAATTTAGAAACGTAATCAGTTACATTACTTTAATATATTAATTGAAATAGTTAACTTACACTACTTATTACATTTAACATTCAAGAAACCGATTTTTTAAACTATCATTTATAACTGCTTTGATCTGTTTTGATCAGAGAAATCAGTTTCTTTAAATAAAAAAAATAGCTCATTATTATTCTGAGTTTAAATTTTGAATAATAGATTCAAAATTAGGCTACCTTGGTTATAAAGACTGGCATATTTATTTATTTCAGCAAAAATCCTACACAAAATGCTTTGAAGACTCCCCAGATAGCAACAGAGTCTGGCTTAATTCTGGCACTGTTTTTTTCTCTCTCCACAGTCTTGTGCCAAACAGCATTAGGCTGAGCTCTGGCTGGGGTCTGGCCAACCAAAAGAAACAAAAAGCAATACTCCAGCCACAGCTCAGCCAAACATAGCCATGGCTGGATGGTCCGCCAGAAAAAGAAAATATTCAGCTGAGATCTGGGTGGGTTGTGATTACCCGAAGAGTAAATCAAAGATCTCTGGCATGAATGTGCTTTAAAGTAAAACAGCCTTGTGTAAGATGTGTGTGGTGTTATTAAGCGGTTCATATTTATTTTATACATCATCATAAAGTTAATTTTGTCAAAAAGAATAAAAAATGTCTTTGTTCTAGTTAAATATCCTAGCCTATACGATATTTATTTAAATAGCAGACACTTTTATCAAAAGCGATTTAAGAACTATGAATACAACAAGTAATTAATCACGAGGGGGCAGTAATAAAAGTGTTTTTAAAGAAAAGAAGACTTGATGATCATTCTGTTGACAAGATTATTTTGATGGGCAGTTAAGGCAGACAAGGAGGTTTCAGTGTGCAGAATGAGAAAAACAAAACGAAATGTTTGCAGAATGATCGAAGACAGAAACAAATATTTAGAGTGAGGATTGTCTTGATTTCCTTGTAATAATGAATAATTTATAATGTGTATTTTGTAACGAAAAAATAAAAAATCCGCAGTTCCCCAGCGCAGTCTGGGCCAATGCTTCTTAGTTATATATATATATATTTTATTGTATATGCTGAACATTTAACATTCATACCATAAAGAAACATTACAAACAGGACATTAACATTTTATGAGGGGAAAAAAGAAAAAAAAGGTAGAAACAATAATACTAACAGAAGGGTATACATCTATAATCACAATAGAAAGGAGTTTAGTTCTGTGAATGTATCCATAGTTGTGGTTGCGGACGTAGTTTGCAGTGCATCTTGCAAATAGTAGTTGATTTACATCTACGTCGTTAAATCCGCTTTACAAAAAAGGACTACTTTTCCCAGAGTGCACCTCGTGACACACAACAGAGGATCCGGAAGTTGCGTAGCAGTTAGCCAGCCGCTAATATTTACCAAAACAGTCTGGAGGACTTCGACAATCACGCCACAATCATTTAGTACTTAAATGTAAGTTTACATTTTTTAAAATCTCAACTAACTCGTAGATTTCACCAATTCTTCTACAGCGCGTTACCTGAGTTGCTTTTTGTTCATGTATAATTCCAGCAGGGACTGGCGCTCTCTCTGGCAGCGGCAGGTCGCAGCGCCACTTCCGGTGGCCACGGCAGCTGCCAGAGTTCGTGGCAGCTGCCACGGTCTTTCTCGCCGTTTCTGCTGTTTGCTCGGTAAAACTACACTGTACTCAGTGGCGTTTTTTAAAATGATGATGCAAAGTTCCCACAATTGTAGTAGTATTATTATTATTATTATTATTTTTATGTATCAGCTGCCAGAGTTCTTGCCAGGAGTCACGATCGTTTGTCGCCGTTCCTGCTGTAAACTACACTGTTGTTTTTAAATAAAAGATTTGATGATGCATATTATATACCAGCAAGCAGATACGATCAGACTGTGAACCCAATAAGCTCAATTGCATAAGCATTTTCCCATAAAGAACATACACACACATAAGAAATGCCAGCTGCCGCTAGCCAATATTGTATATACGCACACACACAAACATTCATTTATTTATTTAATGTAACACTTTAGTTATTAACTAGTTGCTTGCATATTACTATATTAGCCATTCTCCCATCCAGCTCTGCAATTTGCATTGTGATGCAATTTGTTGCTCCTTTTCCATTGAAAGGACAATGGGAAATTGTATTTTTCCATCCCAGTTTCTCTTGCTACACCAGTCAGCTGCAGTTCACCCATCCAGCTCTGCAATTTGCATTGTGATGCAATTTGTTGCTCCTTTTCCTTTGAAAGGACAATGGGAAATTGTATTTTTCCATCCCAGTTTCTCTTGCTACACCAGTCAGCTGCAGTCCTGGCGTCTCTCAGAAGAAGGATTTCCTGCAGTAAATAACAAATATGGTCAAATTATTTCATGTATACTGATGTTAATGCTTCAAACGTGTAGAGTACATAAAGCTGTTACAACATTTTTAAGAAATATATGATCTTTTGTTATAATGAATGCTGTCTATCAGTTCTTGTGTCATTTAAGACCTTAATGGATCTTAATGAAATCCAGTTCCTTCAGAATTAATTCATTTAACTGTTATGTATCATTTATCAGGAATCCCACAGATATTTGCCAGATATTTTATATTACAAAAATGTTATTTCATTCATGTACCATGTTTATATTCCATGTTTATATTATTTTCCATTTTTATTATTTTTGATGACACATGAAAATTAAAAAAAGAAAAATCGGTACCTAATTACAATGGCATCAGCTTGACATGCAAATCCCCTAATGTCATGACAGGGAGAATGTATTTAGTGATGTTATACAAAGACCATTTGTAGTAAAACCGTAGTTATACAATTGTAATAAAAAAAACATTTCATTTCTCGGTGATCCCACATTTGCCCATTTTCATTTTTGTAGAAGTGAACAGTTCTGCTGGAGAACTTTCTGCCCACGCAGCTTTGTGTAGGGATTTAATTTGGTGCTCATCGGCTTGTTGGTATGTAGTATGCATCATCAATTATATATATATATATATATATATATATATATATATGTATAT